GAAACTAAGTTAAAATAAAATAAGACTAGGAAATAAAGTCCAAATTGGATTAGGAGAATCTGCCCAAATCTGCCCAGCCACGTTTTGGTCTCAAATCTCCTCCAAATCTGGCCCAAGATAGCTCGTTTTAAAGATAAAAATATTCCGAACACTTCTCCAGAAGGCCACGAACCCATCCGAGGTCATCTTGGGCTCCAAAAACGCAATATAAGCCCAAAACGTCACTATTCCAGCACTGCACATCGCTCCTTCATTTATTCACCAGGAAATCATCGCTTAGTGTAAAAGTCTGATATTTTGATACGATCAAGCTAAGTGACTCACGTACGTCCTCCAACTGGAATTACTCCAAAATTCGTCCATTTGATTATGTTTTGCTCCAGAGAGAGTCGAAAGTCCTATATTGAAAATATAATTCAAAGTATCAAAATTCTTCCAAAATATTAACCAAAATATACTAAGAATAGGGTTAAATATATAATATAAAATCGACTCATCAGCTGGTTCTGGGAAGACTTTGTATTTTTCTTGGTTAATAACGATTAGGATCCATACATCACATGTATTAGCAGCTTCTTAGCAATAATTCAAACGAGGCCAAAGGAAGAGGGAGCCTCGAACTTCGCCCAAGTACGAGGTAAATGTTCTCAGCAAAATCACTGTAGCTATAAGCTCTAAAAGTAATTGCGTACAAGTTGTGCCAAATTATTTTAATCTTTAACTTGTTCCACTGCACCTCATGCTTTGGATATCATACTTCATACACAGTAGGGACTAAACTGTCAGTGTAGTGATAATAAAATTATATTACAATTTTCTAGCCTGTTTCACATTCACTGGCTGTGAATCTCGAGAAACATTCTTAGTGACCTGCAGTGTCTTCTTGCTGCTCATGATTCTTAAGCTTTGCCTTAATATGTCAATCTCTCGTTCCTTCTTGTATTGTTCATGCTCCATAGAAACTATTCTGGATTTTAGGCCTGCAATCATTTCTTCTTTGGTTTTGATGTCTCTCTTTAGCTCTTCCACAGTGTCTTCCTCCTCTGCTCTCCAGTACAGCCCATTTTCTACAGTAAATGCCATTGCTCCATCATATCAATACACACACACACACACACATATTATATATATATATATTCATACTAAACATACTGAAATTCAACCAGACCAAATTGCTTGTCATATGAGGGAGCTTGAATTTATAAGAACATGTAATTTAAATGAACATGTGGGAAGATTGGAAAGATAAAACATTATCTATGAAGATTAGATCTGGTTAACTATACATGGGAATCAAGCCATTCCATTTTTCATCAATTCCAAATTATTAAATATACTTGCAGTTAAAATGAACATGTGGGAAATTCTGCTTTTTATGCGTTTTTGCTTGTGATGAGAACAGAAAAAATCAATCACTTTCAGATGAAGAAAGAAATTGAGAACCATGCACCTACTGCTAAATCCTGATGTCGGTCATCATCAAAATATAATTCAAACATGAAAATTGCATCATATTCATAATTTCATGAGAGAGAGAGAGAGAGAGAGAGAGAGAGAGAGATTTACATACCACAATGTGTCCTCTGAATGAGTTCATCAAGCTCCATCTTAATAGCCAGATAAAGCTGCTTCCACTTCTCCACAGTCTCATCTCTTCTTGCTCTCTCCTCCCTCATTTGCTCAGCCAACAACACTTCCCACTCCTTCTTCCCACCACTCTTATTATTCCCAGCTTCCAAAACTACCCCTGCATCCTCAATCCCTCTAATTCTCTTCTCCTTCTCGTCCACCATCTTCCTCAACATCTTCACCTCCTCCCTCATCTTCTTCTTCTCTTGCTTCCACTCAGCCTCCTTGAATGCAAACACCATCATGTCCCTCTCATATGCTGCACTCTCTTTCTTCCTCTCACACACCATCCCACTCATTTCCTCTTGAATATTCCTCACCTTTTCTCTCAACCCACCAACATCTACTTTCTCACTTAAATTGTTCCTCCTCTTGCTAGCAAAGCCCCCCATCTTAAAAACACTTAATTATAATTCTTCTTGCTAGCTAGAAGCTACTTTTTGGGGTCACTAAGAAGGGCCTGTGTGACATAAATTTTATCCACAGGGGGAATCAGAAGAGGCTCCTATTGCTCTTCCACTTAATGAAGAGTTAGATATGTTGTCTATTTTATAAGCCCCATTGGCAACTCTCACAATGTTAATAATGATTGAGGGAAGCATCAATGAGGCTCGTGAAGAAGACTGAAGACTGTCTTGTATTTGTACATATTTTTACAGAAAGATTGGACACCCATGATCTGTATGCAAATATAATTGGATTATTCCAAGTCACATGCAATTTTCTTATTTGGGAGCGTGGCTTTTATTTTTATTTTTTTTATACACGGGACACTACAAGAGAGGATAATCGAATCTAGGAGAAGTAAATACATTTAATCACTTGCGCTACAAGACGTCACTTCTAGATTCAAATCTATCATCATTCTTATTCAATATATGCCAGCTGCTTTCAATGGCAATGGGTCTACATTTAGACTCACAGCACAGGGCATCCTTGTACAGTTTGCTCTATCATTTGGCTCTAAAATTCTTATCACTTATCTATTATTAGCCAATATTCCAATTTCCAATGGGTCCTATAAATACTTTTTTTGCAATGGCATTACTCTAGCTTTCCTTGGAGTAGAGCCTCCTTACCTAGTTAGACTGAACTCCACTCAATATTCCTCAAGCAAATCATTGCTGGCCAAAATAATGTTTCAAAATTAAACATGAATTTGAAATATTATTCCACAAAACTTGTTCTGTATCTGTAGGGATGGCACAAAATGTACATGTGACATGTGAAAGAATTATTATTATTTTTTTAATTCTTTCAAAAATAATCCACCTGATTGGTTTAACTTTGGGTAGCTCTGAAATCACCTTGGCAATTCAAAGAGTACCAATTAACCATCAGTTGATGACCTACCTATAGCTACTTCTAGAAGAAGTCTTGGCAGACCACCAAAGGCATGAAAATCCATTGCAGTTGTGAGGGTTTTTATTATTATAATTTTATAACCAGGCAAAAGATTTATGCAGGCATATGTGTATATGTTCACACCCCCATCTGTGCAACTACATTCATTGTTGTGTCTTTGGATTCCCTGACTGACAGGGACCTCTTTGACTTGGAGGTGGAGATGTTTGGTGGTTTGCAATTTATGAAGAGAGAAAAATGTGCAACAAGAAATTGGCATGTATATGTATAATATGCTTGTAAGCCTTGTAAACTAGTGGGTTTTCCAGGGTAAATCCAGGGACAGTGTCTGTCTATATTCTAACTTCCTATCAGATAGTGAGTAGGGTGGGGTGCTAGTGGGGACATTGGCTGTAGATTCAGTGGCTGCAAGTTGAAGGGTGGATATACAAGCCCTCTTTTGTTAACACCCAGCATTTTACTCAACACACACCCATAAAAAGTTAAAAATATATACCCATTTACTTTAATGTATTTTCTATAGGAAAAACTGTATATTTTTCTCTCTTCTCCTTCCCTTCTCTCTCCCCCCATCCCTTTCCTTCTTCAAATCCATGGCTTATTGTTGTTCTTTTAGGTATGAAGTAAAGGGAAAACTACGGTTTTGGTCCCATTTTGTCATTTTTCTCCTTACTCTTTGTAGTTTTAATCTTGTGATCATGTCTTAATTGTTAATGTTCAACTATCTGCACTTGATTAAAAACAATAACAAAAATTAATTACAAATGTTAAAGTAGAAAATGACCTAGATAACAGAGTCCAAAATTATGATTATCTTTTTAAAACACAAAATTTAGTGAAAATAAGTAGGAAGTTGGAGAATTTGTTTAAAAGAGAAGAGTGTACGTGTAGTATAGTGTAGCCAGCACTGAGGACAACAATGTGTAGGTAGAAAGCCCCAATAAATCCAGTCACTACTTAATGAATTGAAAGATCAGTTGGCTGACATGAATTTCCCCATGCCTATGTCCCTTGGGACCCCTAAGTTCGTTTTCCATGACTTTATGTTTAGTTGTATGACAAAGTAAATTAATTATACTCACCAAATCATGAAAAAATGAAAAATAAAAGAAAAGATGAAATCGTCACACTGTCATATGATATTACTAATTTATATATCATAATAATGGGTGGATAATGTATTTATGTTTTAGAGTATAATATTAATAAACAGAACATGTGTTCTAACATGGATGAAAATTTTCTTAAGCCATGGCCTATTGTTGTTTTGTTAGGTATGAAGATTGTTGTTTTGTTAGGTGTGAAGTAAAAGGAAATTGGTTTTGGTTCTCTTTTGTTATTTGTAGTTCCAATGTTGTGATCATTTACGGTTAGTTAACATGTCTTGTGACAAGATCATAGTTTAAACTACTCTAATTTATAGAAAGTGGGATCGAACTCGAGTGTAAGGAGGCAGACACACTATCATGGTCACCTAACCTAACCCATATCTACCAATTAACTACATTAGCAATTAAAAATAAATCAAACATTCGTAAATTACTTTGACAAAATATACATGTAATGCTCGTGTGTGGGGTTGTAACGGTTAGTTAGTTTATAATATTTTTTTTATATACATCGAGGTAACTGGATTTCATTCTTTAACCAAACAACATAATACAAATAAAAAGGATGAAAATTCCAGACAGAAATTAAATGTGGGCGGTTTGTTAGTTTATTGAATTCAGAGCTCAATAAAAATTCCTCCCACCCACAGTAAATATACTAAAGATGGAAAATGACCTCTGAGCTGCATGGACTAATTATCTTGCTTGTCCTTAATTGTTAATGTCAACTAACTATACGGACCTGAATGTAAAAATAAAAATTACAAAGGTAAAAGTAGAAAATTACATAAATTAAAGAAGCCAAAAGCATGTCTCGCTTTCGGAACTTAAAACACTATTTGGTGAAGACAAATAGGAAGTAAGGAAAAATAATAATAATAAAAGAGAAAAGTGTAGTGGTCTCTGAGAACAATAATGTGTAGGTAGAAGAAGCACCAATAAATCCAAACACCACTTAATGAATCGAAAGACTAGTATTTTGGCTGACATGAATTTTCCCATTCCTATGGTCCTAGGGGACCCGAAGTTCGTTTTCTATGACTCTACTCTTATTTATTTATTTAAATATAAGTGATATTGGGGGAGAGGCGTGTTCTCACACGATGTCAAGGTGTCGTAAAGATTCAAACTTGAGATTACTAATCTGCAAATCAAGACCAGTTTTCATTGTGCTATACCACGTTGGCCTATGATTATATCTTTTTAGTTGTATGACAAGGTAAATAAATTATACAAACTAAATCAAGAAAAAATTGAGAAAAAAAATTGTTTGGGAACGTGACACCAACATGTTAGATTACTAATTCACTAATCGTAATATGAGTAGACGATGAAGTTATACTTGGGTATTCTAATTAATAAACAAAATACGTGTTATAACATACGTGACATTTTTTTCGAAGCGAAACATATTATATTTAAATGCATAAGACCATTCTTTAATAGCCCACAAGCCGTAGAGGGCCCACTGCAAGTTTGTAAACTGGATTCTATGGAAAGAAGTAAACCGTGGCCTACACTTCTTTCTAGTAAAATGTCTCAATGACATTCATTTTGATTTTATATGGTAGTGGGACTTCCACGGAGCATCTTCCATTGTTAGGCTTAGGTTAGGTTGGTCCGTTTGATCATCAGAAGCTCCACATCATCAACCTAATTATTGTCCTTGATGATATGATACTCCACACCAATTAAAGATACCTACTCAATGAATAATAACTTTTTCAATTCTCTCCATCCCTTATTAATTATGAGTCTAACACATGTTTCTCTCTCTTTCTTGGTTTATTTTATTTTTTAGGACATTTTCTATTAAGAGGAGCGATAATATACTAAATTCATATATACTACATGGATGCTAGGATTCGAACTCAAGACCTTACCTGAGGGAGTAAATACTTCAAACCACTATACTAATGAATAATTTACTCTCTTTTTTTGTTTGTTAGTAGTTGGTATCACATATTAACAAATTCCTGACTTCGCCTTTTACCTACAAATAAAAATCTCATAATAATTTGAAAAAAGTGTGATATGTAAAAGATCGTCAGTCCACACTTAGCAGACAAAAAGTAGAAAAATCCTTTTTGTGATATTGTATAATGTCCTTGTGATCTTTTTAAGTTGAACTTGCATGCATCCCCTCTTAATAATTAATGTAGGGAATAGTGCATCACAATAATTTCGTACATTATTGGAGAAAATCTTTAATACTTTGAAGTAGAGTAATTTGGAAAGAGAATTGCATGTCCCGGCCCCTAAAATCAAATAAATGTACCCCAAAACTGAAAAGGCAGCGTTTAAAACCATGAAGCATTGCTTTTCCATGCAACAAAGGGACCGTCATACAATGGGCACTGGCCTTTTTGCCAACGAAAAAATTGTATCACAGTTAGATGTATTTAATGAGGTAATAGATTATCAATTTGGGGAGTTATATACTAGATTTCCAGATGAAATTGTGGAACTCCTTCGTCTTAGTTCAACATTAGATCCCTATGATGCTTTTTTTTTTTAATGGAGGGGGGGAACCCCAGAAACAAAAAACCAACTAGCCAACACTAATCATCCGAGGCTTCACAGCCCCCAACAAATCATCAATCAGAATAGAGTTAATCCAAATTGGAGCTTCATCAAAATAGCAGACCCCCATATTCATATTCAGACTCCAATTAGCCAAATAATATGCAGTAGCATTCCTTTCCCTATAAACATGAGTAAGCTCAACAAACTCAAACTTACTCATCAAAGCAACACAACTTGCAGTCACCCCAGTACAAGGATGAAGACAACTAGGAACATGCTGCTTGATAAGCTGAACAGCAGTCATAGAATCCATTTCAATAGAAAGCCTAGCCACCCCTTTAGCCGTAGCAAGCTTCAAGTCAAAGAATAACCCCCCAGAGCTCAGCATCCATAGTTTGACCAATACCCAAGTTGACAGCAAAACCACCCATCCAGTCCCCAGGGGAATTACGAATGATACCACCAGCACCAATACAGCCAGTACCACCCTTGCGAGAGCCATCAATATTTAACTTGAACACACCATTCCCCTCCCTGTGATGCTTTCAAGCAATTTAATATTGATCATATATACACTATTGCTAATAAAAATTTATCCTCAAGATTTTACTACAACTGAGTTAC